AAACAAATCCTATCATTTGCAACAACATGGATGGAGCTAGAGCACATTACGCTCAATGAAATAAGCCAGGCAGAGAAAGACAAATGCCAAATGATTTCCCTCATATGTGGAGTATAACAATGAAGCAAAACTGAAGGAACAAAATGGCAGCAGACTCAGAGACTGAAAGAATGAACTAGTGGTTACCAAAGGGGAGGGGGGTGGGAGGGCAGGTGGGGAGGGAGGTAGAAGGGATTGAGGGGTATTATGTTTAGTACACATGGTGTGGGGGATCACAGGGACAACAGTGTAGCACAGAGAAGGCACATAGTTGATCTGTGGCATCTTACTGCACTGATGGGCAGTGACTACATTGGGGTGTGGGTGGGGACTTGATAATATGGGTAAATGTAGTAACCACATTTTTTCATGTGAAACCTTCATAAGAGTGTATGTCAATCATATCTTAATAAAAAATTTTTTTAAAAAAAGAAAGAAGCAGGTACTGACTGGGATTGACTGTGTCTTCCCAAAATTCTTGCGTTGAAGTCCTAACCTCCAGTAGTACCTCAGGATGTGACCTTACTTGGAAAGATGGCCATTATATGTGTAATTAGTTAAGATGAGGTCTCTAGGGTGGGCTCTAATCCAATATGACTAGTGTTCTTATAAAAAAGGGAAGCTGACACACAGATACATGGGTGCACATGAGAAGCACACCATTTAAACATGAAAGGAAAGACTGAGATGATGCTTCTGGAAACTCAGCCAAGGAACACCAAACATTGCCAGCAAACTAGCAGAAGCTTGGGGAGAGGCAAGAACAGAGCCTTCCTCACAGCTCTCAGAAGGAACCAACCCTGCTAACACCTTGATGGCGTGGACTTCTAGTCTCAAGAATTGTGAGACAACCATTTCTTTTTAAGTCACTTAGTTTGTGGTGCTTTGTTACAGCAGTCCTAGCAAACAAATATGAGCTTAAAGCTCTAAATCATAAAGGTTAGCTAAGTTAGCAACTCAAAACGTTTAAAACTTTTTATCTAAATGGAAACAGTTTATAGCCCATTTTAGGAACAGGGGAAACCAAAATAAAGGCAATACACTAAAAACAGTTCATGTAAAATGACAAAATTCTTGAATCATAAATTTTTTGAAAAGTGTAACCAAGCTCCCATGATATAGGTAACTGCATCACAAATGCTGACTAAAATGAGACAAAAAGGATCCCTGATAAATTTCTCACAACCATTCCTGTTTGTTTTTCAGTATACCAACTTAATCTTACTTTTTTGGGAATTTGCTCACACTCCAGTTTTACTTCCCATTTTATTTTCTCTTCTTGTGTTTCTTCAACTTCTGTATCATCTATTTCATCATCGATTCTGTAGCAAAAATATTAAATAACACAAGAGGGTTTTTTTCAACCTGAAAAGGGTTCATACCACAGCATTAAAATTCACTGCTTTGGCCTGTCCTCAACTTGTACTTTAAGAAATTCCAAATTCAAACTACTCCAAACACTCCAGGGAAATAATGTGTAAAATTTTGATGATCAGTAAATGTCAACATATGTTTATGAGTAAACTGTAAAGCTGAAATTTTAGATTACATAACCTTAATGTTCAAGATTGGCAGCTATATAAATCATCCATCCATTACATTTTTCCATTCATTCAACAAATACTCAGTATCCACCATACACCAGGCCCTGGACCTTAAATCCTGACCAATGACTTAACGACAGTGAAAGACCTTGTTCCTGGCCTCTGAGGACTTTGTATCTGCTTAGAAAAAGGAAAGAAGGCAATTTCAATATGGTGTTATAAGTGTAGGTGCATACACGAGGAACACTTAACCTAGATTTGGGGGCCAGAGGTTTTCTGAACCTAAAAAATATATAAGAGTTAGCAAACAAAGAGGAATGTAAGGGAGAAGAGCATTTCAGGTAGAATGCAGGGTGCCTTCCAAGGTCAGGAGAGAGTCAAACTTATACTCAAGTGGGAAGTTGAAAATGAAAAGTTGTTTTCAGACATGAGGACTGAGAAGTTGAGTATGAGATACTGAGAAAATCACTTGAGGATATTCCAGTAAAACTAAAAATGAACCCAAGAGAGATGAAGATGGAAAATAAGAAAGTGAACAAAGAAGCCAATACAATTGATCGGTAAATCTAAATAATGACTGATGCCATAGCTACAGGGGGCTGAAGGCAATTGTGTCTCAGCAAACAGTTACTACTGAATAAAAGCTTAAGACATGAGTTACATGCCAGATAAAGGTAAGGACTAGACCTTGTGTACATTCTTGTAAGAACATGTCACAAATAGGAAGCACTGGTAGGCCAAGAATGTTAACAGTGGCTTTGTGCTTCTTTCAAAGTTACAGGAGTTCAGGCTTCACAGCTTTATTCGATTCAACAGTTTACCACTGATGTGTCCCTAGACAAGAGTTTCCAAGCTACATCTGTTAGATAAAGTACCAAGTTGTGAGCCTTCTATGAAAGCCACCATTACAAGAACCAATAACCTGAATACAGTTAACCTTCAAATAACAGGTTTGAACTGCTTGGGTCCATTTATACATGGACTTTTTCCAATAAACATAATGGAAAATTTTTGGAGATTTGCAATTATTTGAAAAATAATTCTCTGGCTTACTTTATCATAAGAATACAGTACATAATACATATACAACATATGTGTTAACTGACTGTTTATGTTATCACTAAGGCTTCCTATAAACAGCAGGTTGTCAAAATAACAGTCAAATGTTATACATGAATTTTCAACTGCACAGGGATCAGCAGCCCTTATCCCTGAGTAGTTCAAGGGTCAACTGTACTGTGAACCTTCATTGCTCTAGTTTTCAGTAATGAATAATCTTACGGAATATTGCTCTCCAAAGGCAAAGCAACAATGACTAAAACAGCAATAACAGCAGCAGCTAAAACTTATGCACCTAAAACTTCATGCATATTACACATATCACAACAACCCTATGACATACATAAACTTAAAAAGCCTGTTTTACAGATGAGAAAACTGAGCTATGGAAAGCTTATGTAACTTGCCACAGACCTCGTAAATGGTTGAGCGGAGATCTGAAACTAAGGTAGAACCAACTTCCTATTCAATGTATCTGCCTAGATAGTTACTAGACATGATCTTAAAATACCCAAAACTGAACTCTTGATCTAATCCTGCTATCTTAAACAGACATTCCACCCTTCTGTTGAAACTGACCAAAACCCTTGATGCTGACTTTGACTCTCTCCTATCTCTCATCCAATGTGTGAGGAAATTGTTTATCTTTAAATATATCCATATTTGATCACTTCTTGCCACTAATACTATGATTCAAGCTGCTCTTGCCCCCATATTCATTCCACTCTCAACACAACCAGAATGACCCTGCTACAATGTCACTCTCTTCTGAAAACCCACCAGTAAGAGTCTCTTATCTCATTCAGGATAAAAGCCAAAGTCTTTATTATACCACCTACAAGTCCCTACATGATATTCCTCCTTCTACCCCATCCCCAATACCTCTCAAGTCCTACTTCTCTCTACATCATACTACTCTTACTCCACCCCAGTTGTTACATTGACCACTTTGCTCCCTCCATCCAATGACACCAATCTCACTCTTCCTCCAGACCTTTATAGGGAACATTCTCCCAACGAGTTATCAACTCCCTCACCTTCTTCAGGTCCCTACTCACATATTACTTACCAATGTTATTAGGGAGGCTTTCCTTTACTATCTTCTTTAAAATACCTATACCCACCCTACTATCCCATCCTCCCTTCTTATCCCTCTAAACTGCTGTCACTTTCTCCATGGCATTTATCATCATCTAAATATACTATATGCTTATGTATTGTCTGTGTGCCAAGAATATAAATCTCATGAGTAAGAGGATTTTTCTGTTGTTTATTTACTGCCAAATCCGCAGGGCCTAAAAGAAATGTCTTGTACATAGCAGGCGCTCAATAAATGAGAAGTCCCATCATAAAATTAGCAGGAAAAAAAACCCAGAAACCATAAAACACTGGTTCATTCGACTGCATTTAAAACAAACAAACCATCTTTACAGACTGAAAATAATCCCATAGGCAAAGTCAAAAAAGACCACACGTTGGAAGTAAAATATTTGCAGGCTAGAGATCCTAAAATTGTAGAGAAAGACCAACAAAGAGAAAAATGGGCAAATAATATGAACAAGGAAGTTCATGATGCTCACCATACTTTAATACCTTCTCCACCTAACATTCTGGCAAAATTCCAAGTATCTTTTACATAGTTCAGGAAGTTTTTGTGAATGGACTCTCTGTCCAACCACTTTCAAATAGATAGCTGCTACTGGTTTTTACTAGGTGGCTACTGTCCTTTTTGTGATGATTCACTTTATTTTATGTATTTTAACATTTATTCATTGGTTTCCCTTGTTTTTCTTTGTACATTTTATCACCTGCAAGTAAGTAATGTCTTTTTCTCTTTTTCAATATGTATAGGTCAAATTTTATTTTAGTCATTTTTATTAGAAGCATGGTAATGAAATCACAGGTCCTGGAGTAAGATTGTCTAGGTAATTTAATCCTAGTTTTGCCACTTCCACTGTGTAATCTTGGCAAGTTATCCTCTCTGTGCTTCAATTTTCTCATCTGCAAAAATGAGGATATATTCTTCTTAAGGTTGTTGTGAGGATTAAAATATATTTCACATAAAGCATTAGTAAAGCTCTTGATGGTAGAAAACATTTACCTGCATTAAAGTAATAGTTTCAATAAAGGTATCTGAGGCAGATGTGAATGATTTCAGAGGCCAAACCAACCAGAATAAGAGACATACCGAGGATTAGAGAAATAGAAGAACACAGGATGTGTGTCCAGTTTCGGCTTAGGGAATGTGGGGAAAACGTGTTTAGAAGAGAACATGGTTTTTAGCACTTCAAACTTACAGGGGAAGAAGAGTGAATGGTTATCTGGGTGTAAATTAACTCTTACTACACACGTCTCCGAGATCAGTAAGCCAGCTCCATTGCGATCTAAAGGAAATTGGCTATCAGACGGTGTTGGCCGCTTTATTACGGCCTTTAAGATGTTAGGACGCAAATCAGTAGACTACAGGCAGAGTATTCGCTCCCTTCACCGCTTCATGAACTCCAGGTTTCGTCTTTCTACAAAAAGGAGCCCAGCGTTGTGTCAGTGAGAGATGACAAGTGATCTCTGTCCTCCAGGAGCTCATGGCCCGGGGAAGTGCAAGCGCTACGGGAATTTGAGAACGAAAGCGGGCTCCCAGCGGCCCGCGAAAGCCGGCAGCCTGGAGCCCCCGCCAGCTCTGCCGCCGGGCGGCGCGCTCCCCTCATCCAGGCGGCCGGACCCGCGGCCCCTGTAGCACGGACCCCAAGTGCTCCCGGCAGGACCTCGCGACGCCCCCCAGGCGGCCTCCAGAGGGAGCGGAGGGTGGATCCGGTCAGGCCCCTACGTTCAGGGCAGGAAAAGATAGGAATCACCTTTCGTCAGAGTCCGCGGCTGCTGTTTTGCCGAGGGCCGGGTTGGGGGGCTTGGAAAACAGATTCTCGAAATCCATCTCCCTCTGAAGAGATAGCAGCTTTCCGATGTCACGCCGGCGTGAGGAGGAGGTGATCCAGGAGGGCCTCTCGCCCCGCGCATGCGCCGCCCCGCCCCGCCCGGCGCATGCGTGCGAGCGTGCTCTTCTCCCCACCACCCAATCGAGGCTCTGCGCAGGCGCTGGTGTGGTCGTACTCTTTTCTGTGAATGTTCCATCTGTTATATCAGGTGTTCAGTAGGCTTTGTGAACTTAGTCCTTGGGATTCTCATTTCTTTCACTGTAGTTCAAACCGTTCCATCGAAGTCACAGTTTTTCCAAGGAATGGTAGTAATACCGAACACTCATTTGAGCACTCGCTCTATGCAGGCACCGTTTCACATTTCTGTTTACCTAATCCTCACAACAGCCCTTTAAGCGAGGTACTACTACCTTTCACATTTTTCAGATGGCTAAACTAAGGTGTGGACAGCTTGTGTGACTTGTAGAATGTTTATAATATAATGAGATTAAAATAAACAAATTCAAGGCAAAAAAGGTCCATTAAGAGTACCAAATGCTAAGAGAAATTGGTGAGGGGAGTTAAAGGGTAAAAACAAAAAAAATAAGTTAACAAATTAGAGATAATTTGTTTAAATGCTCAGGCTTTAGGAGTGGGGCCCTGGCATCAGTAGGTTTTTGGCTGCTATCCCACCAATGCTGAAACCCCCTGGGCTAAAGTTTTAGGCGGGCTTCAGAATGGTTAGAGCCAGATGTGTTCCAGCCCTGTGAGGCCTTGCTCTGTTCCTAGGTGCCCTGTTTTTCTCTCAGCTGGATGAGGATGGAGAGGCTTGCCCTGCTTTCCTCTCAGATATGCAGTAAGATTCTAAGAGAAGTGTTGAAAAAGCTTTGGAAGATGTCAAGCCCTGAATACATCTAAGAGATTTGTTACTTTTCCTTGTTCCAAGTCTCCCTACAGTGAGACCTTGAAGTAGGGTTGCCAGATACCACAAATAAAAGTGAGGGAGACCCAGTTAAAATTTAATTTTAGCTAAATTACAAAAAAAACTTTAATTTTTGTAAGTATACTCCATGCAATACTTGGGACATATATATACTAAATGTTTGTATTTTATCTGGCAACCCTATTCTGGCATCTCTTTCTCAGGTGTAGCTGATGGAGGTGGGGACCTTAAACTTTTAATTTGTAGCTGCACATCCATGGGGCTATCTTTCTTTAGGGGATCTTATTGTGAACCATCATTGTGAAGGAAGACATTTCTAAACCTCTTATCTAAAATGAGGCTGAAAGAGTTGGAGAGTTCGTTTTTTAAAATTCAGTGGAGGAATAATCCATTTATTTAGATCTTTGATTTAGTTCATCAGAAGTTTGTAGTTTTCCTCATATAGGTCATGTACATATTTGTTAGATTTATACCTATTTTTATTTTGGTGCTAATGTAAATGTTTCCAATTTCAAATTCTAATTGTTCATGG